GAGGAGGAAGGGGAAGGGGCAGGAGGTATCGGCAGCGAGCCCTTGGGGGAAGTGAGAAGGAGAAGGCCTTCTCAGAAGGCTTTATGACAAAAAGTGTTCTGAGCCTTCCGCGAAGACGCAGGAAACCTCTCAGAAGGCCCGAGGTCTTCTGAGAAGCCCCGCCGCCTTATGAGAAGCCCTTCTATTTCTCACGCCCCCCCCTCGCTTGCCGCCGAAGGTATGGAGGGGGAGGGATGAAGGGAAGGAAGGAGGGAGGCGGAAGGAGAGACGGAGGGAACTCAAGAGAAGAAGCGCCAGAGCATCGGATTTTGCGGCTTTGTCGGTTCCCAAACTGGACCTTGGACTGCAGCCGCGCGCCTGGCCCGATGAGCTCGACTGTGAGCCTCGGGCCAGCTTATCCTTGAATTCTTCGGATGAGATGCCTTATCATCCTTTCGATTGCCATCGGCACGACGTGGGCGTGGCCCCGAACGTGGCCATCTGCTGGGCCGCGCAGGATAAGGAGGAGGAGGAGGAGGCGCAGCAGCAGACGGAGACTGAGTGAGAGGAGATGAGGAAGAAGCTGACTAATGGAAAATGGACGATGAGGTAGGGCAGGGAGAAGGAAGAGGAGTTGGAAGAGGAACCGACCAGGACAAGGTGCGAATTGGAAGGGGAGTTGGAAGGTGCGGGGTTGGAGGGCGGGGAAAGACAGCGATAACCGTGAGAAGAAATCATGGACAATGAAAGGGAGGATGACAAGCAGCAGCACGAGGATCAGCTGCGGAAGAACTGTGGGGTGGAGTACAGAAAATTATGCTAACGGAGTTCCCCACATAAAGAGATTAACGGTTTCGTGGGACCCATTTTCTTGATGCCCTCCTCGCTTTGGCGGGGCCCCGCTGGAAGGGGGGAGGGCTACGAAACCTGGCGAAGAGTAATGCTTTCCGCGACCCTCCTTGTTCAAGCGCGGCCTCTCTGGAGGAGTGGAGGGGGGACACGAAACCGTGTAAACAGCATGTTTTCCGATACCCTCCAGGAAGAGGAGAAGGAGGAGAAGGAGGAGGAGGAGGAGGAGGAGGAGGAGGAGGAGGAAGAGGATAAGATGGATGATGGCGAAGAGCAGCAGCAGGAACCGCAGCAGGAGCAGCAGCGGGAGGTTGGTTTGAGTGGTCTCATTTTCCTCGTGAGGTGGGAGGGGCACGAAACCATGTAAATAGTATGGTTTTCGGATACCCTCCTCGCTCAGGCGGGGCCTCCCTGGAGGGGTGGGAGGGGCACGAAACCATGTAAATAGTATGGTTTCGGATACCCTCCTCGCTCAGGCGGGGCCTCCCTGGAGGGTGGGAGGGGCACGAAACCATGTAAATAGTATGGTTTTCGGATACCCTCCTCGCTCAGGCGGGGCCTCCCTGGAGGGGTGGGAGGGGCACGAAACCATGTAAATAGTATGGTTTCCGATACCCTCCTCGCTCAGGCGGGGCCTCCCTGGAGGGGTGGGAGGGGCACGAAACCATGTAAATAGTATGGTTTTCGGATACCCTCCTCGCTCAGGCGGGGCCTCCCTGGAGGGTGGGAGGGGCACGAAACCATGTAAATAGTATGGTTTTGCCTCCCTGGAGAGGTGGGAGGGGCACGAAACCATGTAAATAGTATGGTTTTCCGATACCCTCCTCGCTCAGGCGGGGCCTCCCTGGAGGGGTGGGAGGGGCACGAAACCATGTAAATAGTATGGTTTTCGGATACCCTCCTCGCTCAGGCGGGGCCTCCCTGGAGGGGTGGGAGGGGCACGAAACCATGTAAATAGTATGGTTTTCCGATACCCTCCTCGCTCAGGCGGGGCCTCCCTGGAGGGGTGGGAGGGGCACGAAACCATGTAAATAGTATGGTTTTCGGATACCCTCCTCGCTCAGGCGGGGCCTCCCTGGAAGGGTGGGAGGGGCACGAAACCATGTAAATAGTATGGTTTTCCGATACCCTCCTCGCTCAGGCGGGGCCTCCCTGGAGGGGTGGGAGGGGCACGAAACCATGTAAATAGTATGGTTTTCGGATACCCTCCTCGCTCAGGCGGGGCCTCCCTGGAGGGGTGGGAGGGGCACGAAACCATGTAAATAGTATGGTTTTCCGATACCCTCCTCGTTCAGGCGGGGCCTCCCTGGAGGTGTGGGAGGGGCACGAAACCATGTAAATAGTATGGTTTTCGGATACCCTCCTCGCTCAGGCGGGGCCTCCCTGGAGATCAGCTGCGGAAGAACTGTCGGGTGGAGTACAGAAAACAAAACACGCGCGCGGAGGACCGCCCTGCGCCGCGAGGGAGGAACGCGCGCAGGCACGGATGCGGATACGGAGGGAGCTGGCCAAGGCGGGCGCCAGGCGCGCGCCCGCTCGCGCCGCCGCGTACACACATACACACATACACACATGTTCTTGCGTCGGCGGCGCGGCAGAGTGACTGCACTGGCGATGTCGCACTCGTGGGGCGCACGAAGCGTGAATGAAGCCGCACTGCGCACACACACAGACACATACACTCACACAGACACGCCGATACACAGATACGGACCCGCACGCGCTTCACTTTTTTCGGCTTCGCGTCCGCGCGTGCAGCGGCGCTGCGTTTGCCGTCGAGCGAGAGCGCCCGGGGGGGGGGGGGCCGGAGGCGGCGGCGCAGCGGCCAGGCACTCAGACTGCTCAGACGGATCGCGCAGGAGTCACCCCATCTCCCGCACACAGACACACACACACAGAGCGCACACTTTCTCTGCGTCGGCGGCTGGGCAGAGGTTACCGCTCCGGCGGTGTGGCATCAGTGGGGAGCGCTCGATGCAAATTGGGCCGCGGTGCGCGGGGGAAGAAGGAAACCCAGCGCAGGCGGGAAGAGAAGAACCCGGGCCCGCTCGGGAAAGTCCCGGCGGCGGCGGGGAGGGCGCCCGCGGGGGAGCCAGCTTCGACGCCAGGCAGCAGCTGGGGGGGAAGGCAGCCTGAAGGCGGCCGGGCAGGGCCAACGGGGGGGGGAGAAAGCAAGACCAACGAATAGCAACACAACATATACACACAGTTCTTCCTCATCCGGCGATTTGAAAACACGACTGCGTAGCGTGCTGACTGGAAACGCTGGCACACATTGCAATCAAGCCTATGTCGAATCACTCGAAATGCTCGAATGCAAATCCAAGGTAGGGGGGGCAGGCAAAATCGTACAACACACATACGCAGGCAAGGCAACGCGCGCCAACAATGTCACCTCAGTCGCGTCGAACTATGGGCGAGAAGCGGACATGTTACTTCAAATATTGCCTTGACGGAAACGCAAAAGCCAACATGCGTTGAGGACGTCGGTCGAGAGGGACATACACACAGATCGTGCCGGCACACTGAATGTAAGAGGACTCGAGACCCACGTAGGGATCTCAGCGTGGCGTGCTCAGGGGCCATGCAGAAAAACAAGGTCGACCTACCATAGCTCGAGGCTGCTGGACATGCAAGAGAAGAGGTGTTCGATAACGCATATGCAGACACACATACACACAATCACGTAAACACAGACACACACACAACACACACACACACGCACGCACGCACGCACGCACGCACGCACGCACGCACGCACGCACACACACGCACACACACACACACACACACACACCACACACACACACACACACACACACACACACACACACACACACACACACACACACACACACACACACACACACACACACACACACACACACACACACACACACACACACACACACACACACACACACACACACACACACACACACACACACACACACACACACGCACGCACGCACGCACGCACGCACGCACGCACGCACGCACGCACGCACGCACGCACACACGCACACACACACCAACCACACACACACACTTTTTGCGCATGCGACGCCGCAGTGACAAAACTCACGCGCGGAGCAAATCAGCAAGCAAGGCATGCTGGAGCACATCCAGAGACGGAGCAGACCATCTCGCGAGGCCCCGCCTCACGCCCACGAGCCCCGTCGTGCAGCCCGTGCGTCCGCACGCCCGCGAGCCACGCCCGCGAGCCCCTCCCTGAGATCCGACGATGCGAAAAAGCACCAACATCACGGACAGTCACGACTGGAGCTTTGGACCTGCACGGTTTCCCTCTGGGCCGCAGGCGACCCGAGGAGGAGGAGAAGGAGGAGGAGGAGGAGGAGGAAAAGGAGGAGGAGGAGGAGAAGGAGGAGGAGAGGGAGGAGGGAGGAGGGAGGAGGAGGAGGAGGAGCAGGACGGGTCGCCTAAGCCCTTCGGATAAACCCTCCACTTGGACCCTAGACTCAGCCTGTCTGCGGCATTTCTCGAGCTGCATCGATGTGTGATGGTCCGTGGGCCCGACGCTGGGAGATCACCACGCCCGGCGTGACACAGGCTGCAGCGCCGAGCTCTCCGGGTAGGGAGCCCTGGCCTCAGTGGGCCCCAGAAGCGGCAGGGCCGTTTTTTTTGTGCCGTTTTCGAAAACGTGCCTCTTGAAAATGGAAGCGGCGAACACAACAACGGCCACCCGAAGCGGCCACAAGAACGGCTCCGGGATTGGATCCAGGGCCGGAGCCGGATAAAAACAACGGCGACGGAAGCGGTAACAAAAACGGCGTCGGAAGTGGCAACAAACCTGGCAAAACGGAGCCGGTAGAAAAACGGCCCTGTCGTTTCCAGGGCCCACGATAAGGCCCTGGCCCTCCCTGACCCACCTCGCCCCGCAGCCGCAGCCCTCTCTCCCTTAGAGGCCCTGAGGTGCCGCGCGCGATCCCACAGGAAAAACGAACATGTCAAGACATACAATATACATATATATATATATATATATATATATATATATATATTGTTTTGAATATATATATATATATATATATATATTGTTTCTAAAAATATCCGAGACAGCGCGACAAATCGTCGCCAGACTACTTTTTACGATTTCTGAACGCTCCTCCTGCAGAGGGGCAGGCCCTGGAGACGCTCGCCCGCGCGCGCGCCTTGCGGCCGTTCCAGTGCAGCGCCTCGTTCACGGACGCGAACCAGTCCCCCGTCTCGGCGCGTGGGCGGAGAAGCCCGCCTTCCTCCTCCCTCCCTCTCTACCTCGCTCTGCCTCTCTCTCATGGGAGAGCGGGGGGGGAAGGGAGAGGGCGCCCCCGGGGCCTGCACTCTGTCAGCTGCAGGGCCCTCGACATGGACAGCCTGCAGCGGCCACCAGCGCATGAGCTCCACATCGCCACGATCTGACGCTCTTGTTGGGAAACCTCTCTCTGTCTCTCTCTCTCTCTCTCTCCCACTCTCTCTCTCTCTCTGTCTTTCGTTCGGTCTCTCTCTCTCTCTATATATGTATTTGTCTCTTTCTTTATTTTTTGTTTTTTTTTTTTCTCTCTCTCTCTCTCTATGTCTCTCTCTCTCTCTCTGTCTCTCTCTCTCTCTGTGTCCCCCTTGTCGTTCTCTCGATCTTCCTCTCTGTCTCTGTCTCTCTCTCTCTCTCTCATTCTCTCCCTCTATTCGGGCGGCCTGGCTCAACGCAAACCCAGCTCAACAAATTGAGTATGGGCTGCGCTGCCGCTTAGCGGGGGGCGTCTCAAACACCGACCAGCCAGTATGCACGGCCACCTCTCCAGGGCCGCGAACGGCTCCCGAACTCCGGCTCAGCCAAGTACGCTTGTTTGCAGAATCTCCTGCAGGCTCCCGCGCTCTGCTTGAGCCCTACTTACGCTGAGCCCACCACCACTACAAGTAGGCAGGAGGCGGGGGAGGAGCAGAAGGAGGAGGGGGAGGAGGAGGAGGAGGAGGAGGAGGAGGAGGAGGAGGAGGAGGAGGAGGAGGCCTTCACCATCCTCCCCTCGCCCCCCGTGCTGCCTACGGCAGTGTTGGTGGGAAACAGGACCCTCATGAACCCTCATACCAGCTTGCTGATCTCTCTCTCTCTCTCTCTCCTCACCTCCGCTGGCCGCCACCTCCTCCCCCCCCCGACACCACAAACGGTAGGTAAGGCGCGCAAGAGGTGCCCCAAAAAGCCCTGTCCTGGGCGCCCCTCGGCTCGGCACGCGGGTGCGTGCCACCACTGCTGTGTAGGCTGTCCGCTCGGATGCCTCAGAGCTGACTGACACTGGATGATGGGCCTGTTTTCCACCACCACCACCATAAGTTGGAGGGGAAAAGGAGGTGGAGGATGAGGAGGAGGAGGAGGAGGAGGAGGAGGAGGAGGAGGAGGAGAAGGAACAAGACGAGGGGAAGGAGGACCCCCTCCCCCCTCCAACTTATGGTGGTGGTGGAAAACAGGCCCATCACTGGAGAGAACGAATCCAATACGGCAAGTTGGTGTCGTGACGACTCCGGCGCTGATTTTTGACTCCGCGTGGATCGTTCAACCTTGAACGCCGGCGGCTCTTCGATCGCCCAGTCGTTTCATGTGTTGCTCGATTCTGGGCCACTGGCGGCGTTCAACCTTGAACGCCCGCGGCGGGGTCGACGAGGGTCGACGCGACGCGAACCTACCGTATCCAGGCACCCGTGTTCTGCAGCGCATGGACAGCCAACTTGGAAAGCAAATGTCAAACCATGTGGCCTGTTTGAGTGCACTCTTTGATGTCGGATGGCCGCTCCCTTCGCGGTTAGCGTTCCCCCCCCGCTGAGCTGATGTGTCGTGCGACATGGCCTGCGAAGGAACACACATTGGGATTCCTGTCAGTTCTATGTGCGGACGACCCCCTGCCCGCTGCGCGCGGCCCTCGCTTGGCTACTTTTCGACACTGACGGCAGCTCCTAGACTACCACCAGAGACCGGCCCCAAATGGCAACATAATGCCCGAAGAACGACCCAAGACGGCTCAGCGACCCACAGAATGTTCCAGGGCGTCCAGGACGTCCCAAAAGGGGTCCCGAGAGGCCCCGAAGTGATGCCCGAAGCGACCTCCAGCGAGACCTGGGCAACTTATCGGGTCTATATAGCTCGACTATTCTTCGAACATTCATCGAGCCGGATTCAGTTACCTGAGATTTGTTCTAGAATTATGTTGCCCCGCAATCGCATTCCTACGGCGCTCCCGTGGTATTCCTGCAGCGACTGGACCCGATTCCGAACAAACACACTGTTCCTATAGCATTCAACAGATGTGTTGAAAAAAGACAGTCTCAGCCAGACATGTTCTAATAACATCTCTTGCAAATCACAACAGGCTCATCGAATCTTCTTCGGTGGGCCTATAGGCAAGCGCGTCGCCGCTACTCGAGCGAGGCCCGCCTGCTGCTGCCTGTGGCTGCCCCTCCGTTTCCCCTAGGGCCCCGCGATCGCTGCTGCCGCGTGGATGCTCTGCCAGGCCGGCCGAAGGCCACTGCGCTCGCTCGCGCCTCGGGCGAGCAGCGAATTGTGGACCGTGGGCGATGGCATGGCTCACCCGTGCACAGCCGAGGGAGCGGGCACCCGTAGGTAAGCCTTCGCGCATGTAGCGCTTGTGACTCTGAAGCGCACGAGGGGAGCAGTATGCCGTCGAGCGTTCGCAGGGAAGCCTGCATCGGCGATGCGCTGTTTCGAAAGAGCTTCGCCTCTGTTTCGTTGTGGTGTGCACTCGTTGGGTGTAGCGCGGCCCTTCGGGCCTGGCTGAAAGTTTCACAAGGCTCTTCTGTCCCCACCCCTCTCCTCCTCCTCCTCCTCCTCCTCCTCCTCCTCCTCCTCCTCCTCCTCCTCCTCCTCCTCCCTCCTCCTCCTGCCTCTCCGATCGCCGCCGCCGACGGCGCCGACGCCGCCACCGACACCGACGGCGATGCCGGCGCCGACCGCCGACGACACCGATCGCCGACGGCGCCGAGAGCCGACTCGACGCCGCCGACTCCGCCGCCGCCGCAGCCGCCGACGCCACCGTCGACGCCGAGCGCCGACTCGACGCCGCCGAGCGCCCACGCGGCGCCGCCGACGAAGCCCGCCGCCGTCGGCGTGCTTCGGCGTCGCGCTCGCCGCCGACGCCGCCCCCCGCTCGGAGCGCGTGCTGCGTGCGAGAGCACGTGCCCGGCGCGCCTCGGTGAAGCGGCAGATCGTCGGCACCGGGTGGTGCGACACGGCCACCTCGGGGGGGCGTCGTCGTTGTCCTCGTTCGAGGCGGAGTCGTCGTTGCCGTCGCTCGAAGATGGAGAGGCGGTCGCGGTCGTCGTCGCTCGAAGATGGAGGGGTCGTCGCCGTCGTCGCCACGGGGTGGTCCAGGTGAGGCTGTCGTCGTCGTCGTCGTCGTCGTCGTCGTCGTCGTCGTCGTCGTCGTCGTCGTCGTCGCCCGAAGATCAATCAAATTTTGGGTTCTGGGGCGCTCTGGCCAGTCTCTGATCCCCAGAGCTCCTCGCGCCGCGGGCAGACACCACCACAGAGTGGGTTTTCCTCGGCATCGGCCCTCAGCGGGCCCCTGGACCGTCGAACGACGGCTCGGGATGCAAAGCCTGCCCTGGGGAAGGGGTCCAGACCTCTGGGGGTCCGCGCTGCGGGTAAACCATCGCGCTGGAGGTCTGGGCTTCTGGGGGCTCCCGGGGCCGCAGGGAGGATAAACGAGTGCGGGCCGGAGGGCGGAGGGGAGAAGAGGCAGGATGGCGGAGAACGGAAGCAGAGGGGCGGGGGGGTCACAAGAGAGAAGAGGGAGGGGAGGCGGGGGGGAGAGGAGGCAGGACGAGGGAAAGGCGCGTCGCACTGACTGCCGTGCCCTCCGCGCCGGGCCCCTCAGCGAGGCATCGTGAAGCACCCGGGAGCTCGTCTTGGGCGCCTGGAGCTTGTCCCGAATCCCGCGTGCCCTGTCGTCCGCTGGCAGGCCCCCTGGGGCCTCCCTGGTGGGCTCGCAGCTGCCGCGGCGTCCTTGCGAGGGCGACGTGCCACGATTCTGTCCAGGGCCCCAAAACCGCGCGGTGACGGACCGCATGGTGACCTCGGCATCCCCGACGACCTCACCGCGCGGTCCGTAATTGCACGGCTTTGTGACCCTGCATGCCCCCATCGCCCGATACGTCCTCGGAGAACGACCCGAGTCCCAAAGCCGTGCACTGATCCCGAATCGGCGGCGAGCGAGGGGGAGAAATGAGAAGGAGAAGGCCTTCTCCTTCTCAGAAGGCGGCGGAACTTCTCAGAAGCCCTCGCGCCTTCTGAGAAGCTTTTTGTGCCTGCGGGGAAGGTTTTGAGCACTTCTCAGAGAGGCCTGGGGACTTCTGAGCCTTCTGCGAAGGCCCGCCCCTTCTCACTTCCGCACCGGGCTCACCGCCGACCGACTCCTCCCCAAACATGCGACGTTCTGCTTTTGTTCAGGACGGCGTCCCCGGAAGTCCCGACCGTTTCCCCGGGACTGGTTCTTCGTCCTGAGTCGTTTTTTGAGTGTCCCGAGGGCCGGCGAGGGCCCCCCCGGGGCCGCCACGTCATGTCTGGAACGGACTCGCCACGCGGACTGGTCATCACACCGTCTGGGGGGTGCCCGATGCTCACGACCTCCGGCGGGGGCAGGGGGCAGGGCCGGAGCAAGGAACGACCTGACTCGATCTGGGCGCGGGACTCGGGGCGCGCTGCGGAATAGGGGTGGGGCACGGGGGGAGGAGGAGGAGGAGGAGGAGGAGGAGGAGGAGGAGGAGGAGGAGGAGGAGGAGGAGGAGGAGGAGGCCCAGCGTCGGAATGAGTTCGTCAGCCTCGCCTACGCATGCCGAGCATTCAAACCTCTGGCGATCGACCGCCACCCTCCCATGGGGGTGTCCGTCGCCATCTGAGCCGCTTTGGCAAAATCTCGCGCCTGAACGGCGGACGGGAACCAGTTCCCTCTGCGCCTCAGGAGGAGGAGGAGGAGGAGGAGGAGGAGGAGGAGGAGGAGGAGGAGGAGGAGAAGGAAGAGGAGGACGAGGAGGAGGAGGACGAGGAGGAGGAGGCGAGGGGACGTCCGAGCGATGAGGAAGGGCCCGCGAGGGGGGATGGCTGGAGGGGCGGGAGGCCAAGGGGCGGACGGGAGAGAAGCGGTGAGGGAGGAAGGCGGGGAGGGGGGGGCCTCCTCCTCCTCCTCCTCCCTCTCCTCCTCCTCCTCCTCCTCCTCCTCCTCCTACTCCTCCTCCTCCTCCTCTTCCTCCTCCTCCTCCTCCTCCTCCTCCTCCTCCTCCTGCTCCTGCTCCTTCCTGCTCCTGTCCCTTCTCCTGCTGCTCCTCCTGCCCCTGCTCCTCCTGAGGGGAGGGGAAAGGCCGGAGGGCCATCGCCGCAGTGCGGTGAGGCCCCGGGAAGGCCAGGACCAGAGAGGAAGGGGAGAGCGAGGAGCCCGAACATCCTGCGTCTCGATTTCTTCGAGGCGCTGTCCCCCGGGCACCTGGCTGTCGACCGCTGCTGCCCCAGGACTAATGCTTCCCCCCGAGTCTCTGCTGACGGCCCCGAGGCGCAGCAAGGGCTCGAGAGGCTGAGAACCATGGAGCAGCACCTCCGTCCCGATTGCTTCGAGACGCCGAGGTTCTGGAGGGGGGGCAACACTTTTTTGATCCGCGGGTCGAGAGCGCACCTCTTCCGGTCGAAGCTGAGCGGGCCGCGCACAGCTTGCATTAACAAAGAGGGGGGGCAGAAGGAGGGGCCTCACGTCAAGGCCAGGAGGAGGAGGAGGAGGAGGAGGAGGAGGAGGAGGACGAGGAGGAGGAGGACGAGGACGAGGGGCAACAAAAGGCTGCTGTGGTCGAGGGAGCGGACGTGCCGTCCTCGTGCGGCCGTGGGGACCGCATCGGGAGGGAACGAGGGGGGCCTCCCTGGCCACGGCGGCCCGCGGCCATCCACAGGCTCCACGACGTGAGCCCAAGGACGGCCCGAACGTGCGGGCCCCTCCGCAGACCAAAGTCTTGCCGTCGCTCGGACGTCCATTTCCCGTGCAGGTTTCGGCTTCGTGCGTGTTTTTGTTGTGCTCGATGGTCCAGGATGGTCCTCAAGGGTCCTCGCCGAGAAAAAAATGCACGTGTCCGAGCGATGCCAGGAAGTGGTCCGTGAATCAACGAGCGTCTCGACTGCACGGTCCGAGGCCCCCCGAGACGAGGACAGGAACGAACGTCTTGACTGTACGGTCCGAGGCCCCCTGAGACGAGGCCAGGAACGAACGTCTTGACTGTACGGTCCGAGGCCCCCTGAGACGAGGCTAGGAACGAGCGTCTTGGCTGTACGGTCCGAGGCCCCCTGGGACGAAGAGAGGACGAGGATGACATCGAGTAAAGATACATCGAGAATCTCTGAGACCCGGCGGCTCTGAAGGATGCCTCGGGCGCCGCGACCTTCTCGGAGCGCACCAGGACGCTCTTCTGAGAGCGTCCTGGATCGCTCTGGAACGGGTGGAACCTCGTCCTGGCCCCGTCCGACCCCCCCCCTCCCCCGCGCGGCTCCTCCACAGAGTCGCCGATCATCAGGATGCAGATGTCCTTTAGGGGGCGACATGCGAACCCTGCCCCTACCCCCCACGATTTCTGAGGGGGAGGGTGGGGCTCGCCTCGTTCGGGAGCTCCCGAGCGAAGTGAACCCCACCCTCCCCCTCAAAAATCGTGGGGGGTGGGGGTAGGGTTCGCATGTGGCCCCCGATCCTTGCCGTCCACGCTGAGTGCCGCACCTGTCGGGAGCGGGAGCGGGGCAGCACTCTCCTGCCGAGGAGCGGCAGGGAGCGCGAGGGGGCAGCGGGCGGACGCCGGAAAGGGGGCTCGGGGATAGGTCGGGCGCGCGGCAGTGGGGGGGTGACCTCCCCGGGGGGGGGGAAGAAAGCACAAACCTCCTCGCGAGGTGGAAAAAAGGACGGCGGCAAGTGTTGCGCTGTTTTCCGCCTCCAGGGATCCTTCCCGAGTCTCGGGGCCGTGAGAAAACGACTCAGGATGGAACAACTGGTCCCGGGGAAGGGGTCCCGACACCCGGGGGGTCCTTCTGGCCCTTCCTGGCCCGCTTTTCTGTGTCGGCCCGTCCTGGCGTCCGAATAAGAGCCGCGGCGCCCCGCACTGCTTGTGAACCCCTGTGTGCCCGCGACCCTGGCACCTGGGAGTTGGTTGTTGCAGACTTGTCTGTATCCCTCGCCGCCCCTGGGGGTCTTCGATGTGAACAAAACCATGACGTCGGGCGTCTGGGAACAGGAGCCAGCTCGGCCTCTTCGGGGCCCCTGTGGGCGCCCCAAGGGGTCTTCAAGGGCCTATTTTAGGGCCCCTGTCTTCAGCCCCCCCCCCACATGTAATGGAGGATGACGATTAGTAAATGACCGGGGGTCGTGTTCACGCGGCGGCGCCCGGGATGACGATTAGAAAAAAACCGGCCGCGGGCTGGAAAACTATTTTTTTAAATCGTTCTCCTCCAGTCAGAAAATGGTGCAGAAATGGCAGAAAACCAGTTTTTGAATCGTTCTCTCCCATGTTTTTAACAATCGTCATCCCGCATTAGGCCCCCCCCCTCACCACAACCCGCTCGAGCTGGGCAGAGGGCGGAAGCCGAGCGGAGCTCGGGAACGGAGGGTGACGGAGCAGAGGACTTTGGCGTGCCAGGACTTTGGCAGGGGAGCCCAGGATCGAATCGATAAGTCGGATCGGCGATCGAAATGGATCGGGTCGGCGGAAATCGGCACAAAATCGGGAGAAATCGAATCGGTGGAAACCGGCGGGCGACTAAAACCTCCAGCGAGAAAACGGAATCCAAATCAGAATCCGAGGCCGAATCGAATCCAATCGGAGGAGTCGACCTGAGCCCTGCTTTGAAGGGCTTCTCTGGGAGGGGAGGTGCTCACCACCACAATCAAATGCACGTCGAGATCCCGATGAGAACGCGCCCCGGAAGGCGTGCATGGACCGATCCTGAGAAGCGCAAGCGCATGAGAGGGGCAACACGCGAATGCCGAGCAGCCGAGAAGAAGACGCCAGCTAGAGGTAGAGGGGGGCATGCTCAGTGGCGCGCCGCATTGCTTGAATTGTATTACCTGCGTGCATGGATTCGCTGTTATCTGGTATAAGAACGTTTGACGTATCTGAATGTCGTTGTGTGCGAATTGCCTCGTGCACGCTGCACGCTGTAACTCGACTCTGTCATATTATTATATGCGTCCCCTCGGTTTCTCATCATCGGTGGTCGGGAGCGGCCCCCTCTGAGCTGTGTTCGAGGCTTAGCTAAGGAGTGTGGCAATGCCACGAAGAAGCAGACCTGGCACTGCAACAAAATCTGCAAAAAAGGTCTTCGCCCAACGCAGAAGGATCCGACCGTCGAAGCTGCCCCGTGGCGACAATGTTTCCTCAACCCTGCAGTTCATGGTCCAACAACAACTTGTTGCGTCGGTGGCAGGGCAGGGGTCGTCTGCGCTAGTGGAAGGGCCTCAGTGCCGTGAGAGCGAACTGTGCCAACGTCCAGAGAAACACACACAGGATAAGGAAGAACGCGCGCCTAGAAGAAGCGGAGCACTCCCCCCTCAGCAGCTGCGACCAAGCGGTAGATCGTGCATGTCCACCTACAGGCTGATGCTGGACGATTTGTTGTCAACAATGATAAGCAAATAGTCCAAAATAGTCAAAGCATCGTCCCTGACTATGTTTCGACAACTCTTGAACATTCCCCCTCTAGAGCGATGCCCGACTTAACCCAGGCGCGAGGGGGGGTGGTCGTTGGCAGCACAAGGGCGAGGCTGGAAGGGCACGTGTGTGAGGAAGCCCGCCGCAGGCGCAGCTTTCTTTCTAGCCACGCTTCCCCAACCAGTGCTTGCGCTTGGAGGCTGGAGGAGGAGGAGGAGCAAAAGGAGGAGAAAGAGGAGGAGGCCGGAGGAGGAGGCTGGAGGAAGAGACTGGAGGAAGAGGAGGAGGATGAGGAGGGGAAAAGGAACGAAGATGGGGAGGAGGAACATGGGAACGAGGGGGAAAACGAGAGAACGAGGATACGGAGGAGGACGAGGAAATGGAAGAGGACCAGGAGGGGGAGGAGCACGATGCGGTGGAGGAGGAGGAGGAGTAGGAGCAGGAGTAGGAAGAAAAGGAGGGAGAGGAGGATGAGAAAGAGGAGGAGAAACAGGAGGAGGACGGAGGAGGAGGAGGAGGAGGAGGAGGAGGAGGAGGAGGAGGAGGAGGAGGAGGGAGGACGAGGTGGAGGACGAGGAGGAGGAGGAGGAGGAGGAGGAGGACGAGGTGGAGGACGAGGAGGAGGAGGAGGAGGAGGACGAGGTGGAGGACGAGGAGGAGGAGGAGGAGGAGGAGGAGGAGGAGAAGGATGAGGAGGAGGCGGAGGCGGAGGTTGAGGAGGTGGCTGGAGAAAGAGGAAGAGGAAGAGGAGGATGAGGAGCCGCAGCTTCTTCGATACGTTTCCAAGCCAGTGCTTGCGCCTGGAGGCTCTTGATGCACTTCTTTCAGTGGCTCGGTGGGTCAGCCGAGGCTTCGCCCAGTGCCTGCCCCCCGTGGGGGTCCTCGGACGGACCAGAAATGTGGGGCCCAACGCTGGGATGTGCTGTGGGGGGGTGACCGTCCTCGATAGGAGTGCGTCCGCATCGCCCCCTCGGGGCGTATTCCCGAATCCGCCTCCTCTCGAACGGCCTGATTGCTCGTGGAGAGCTCGGGGGGGTCGGGGGCGCGACGCCGCCCGCGGCAATGCCTGCCCGTGGGCGCCTCGTGCTCTGGGTGGGTCAGCCGCTGTTTCGCCTGGTGCCGACGACGACGACGACGACGACGACGACGACGACGACGATGACAACGGCGATGACGGTGATGACGACGACGACGACGACGACGACGACGACGACGACGACGACGACGACGACGACGACGACGCCATCGTCATCGTCATCGTCATCGTCATCAGCCGATGTCTGGCCCGGTGCCGGTCCGTGGCCGGCCCGGGGTGCCGAACCCAGCGCCCGCCCGCGGATGCCCTGTGGTCGTCTCGAGGGCGCCCACGCGCGCGGGGCGAGCCGGCCGAGGGTTCGCCTGGCGCCCAGTGCGTTCCTGGCCGTATGGGTGTAGCCAAGGCGGTGCATTCGACTTGGTGCAAAATAGGCGGTGCGAAATGCATGGTGCGTGCGTGTATCTTTTTTTTTTTTTCTCTCTCTCTCTCTCTCTCTCTCTCTCTCTCTCTATATATATATGTATGTGTCTACATGTGGTGCTGCCTAGGTTGAGTAATCTAGGTAGTGCAACATATGTGGTCAATGTATGTGCTGTGTGATGCAAATTATGCGGTGCAGTCTAAATGGTGCAATGGACGTGATGAAATCGGAGGTTGGGGGGTGAGATAGCAAGGTAACGGAGTCCCCCCACCGGGAAATCGAGTTTCGAGTTCGTGCTCGTGCCGTGCGTGCGGGCGAGGCGAAGCTGCGTGGGCCAGCGAGAGGAATTCACTCTGCTGTCGCTAGGGGTGCGCCAACACAAATGTTTCCCCCCCCCCCGGCCTTGTCAAGCGGTAGCCCACGTTGTCCCGCCGGTTGCTCGTCGGTTGCCCGCCGGTAGCCCACGTTGTCCCGTCGGTTGCCCGTCGGTGCACCCATCGTCGACTGGGACGTCGTGGGCTGAGTGCCGCGTCGCGCAGCGGCAAACCGAACGACACAACTCGCCCAAGCGAAGGAACAAAAAACATCCGCCACGTCATCCACAACATCATCGCCCATCAGCACCACGTTCATCACAGTTGTCGTCATGAGCCACCCCCCTCCCCCCACCCCCCCCCACAACCTCCTTATCACCCGCAGGGTGGTCGTATAGGTATATGCGGTGCAATCTACATGATGCAATCTTCGTCGTTCTTTATATGCGGTGCAATCTATGCTGTGCAGTTGACTACCCTGCACCGCGCTTGACCACCTCCACTGCTCGCGCAAACATCCTACCCACCCACCCGCAACTTGGTTGGCAAAATCTCTGTAGACCGTGACGGTGGGTACCAAATGGCACTTGGCAACGACAGCGACGCCGACGACGACAGCGACAACGACGACGACGACGACACCGACGACGACGACGCCGACGCCGACGACGACGATGACGACGATGACAACGACGACGACGATGACGCCGCCGACGACGACGACGACGACGACGGCACCGACGATGACGACGACGTCGACGACGACGACGTCAACAAAGCCGAAGACGACGACGACGACGACGACGACGGCGGCGACGACGACCGCGACGTCGACGACGACGAAGACGACGACGCCGACGACGCCGACGCCGACGACGACGACGAAGACGACGACGACGACGTCGCCAACGAAGACGACGACGAGGGAGGAGGGAGGACGACGACGGCGACAACGACGACAACGACGAGGGAGGAGGGAGGACGGCGACGACGCGAACGACGAAGAAGGAGGAAGGACGGCGACGCCGACGACGACAACGACGAGGGAGGAGGGAAGACGACGACGACGACGACGACGACGACGACGACGACGACGGCGACGAAATAGGAGGGACGACGACGAGACGCCGACGACGGACGACGACGACGACGAGGGAGGAGGAGGAAGGACGACCACGGCGACAACGACGAACACGAGGAAAGACAGAGGACGATGTAGGCGACGACGACGACGAAGACGACGCGGGAGGAGGGAAGACGGCGACGACGACGACGACGACGACGACGACGCAAAAACGCGCGCGCACGCTTTTGTTAAAAATCAGTGTTGCGAAACCTTGTGTTTTTGCATGTTTTTTGGACACACGATTTGGAAATCCTTCCGAAACCTATGGGTTTTGAAAGATTTCGGCGTACGCGCGCGACGACGCGCGCGTCTGAACTTCGTCCCATTTTTTGTAGAGGATTCTCGCGACGGCACACGCGCAAGGGCGTTCGACAGATTTCGACATGCGCGCGCGAAGCCCGTTTGGTAGCATTTTGTGTAAATCTTGAAGAACAAATGGTTTTCGTAAGATTTCGCAAGAGCTCGCGCGTAAGCTTTTTTAGCACATCAGTGTTGCGAAACCCTGTGTTTTTGTATGTTTTTTTTGGGAACTCGATTGCGAAATCCTTCCGACACCGAGAGTTTTCCAAGGATTTCGGCATGCGCGCGCGACGACGCGCGCGTGTGCACTTCGTCCCATTTTTTGCAAGGGATCCGTGAACAAAAATGCTATGAGAACAAAAGATGTCCCCGCGCATCGTTGTTCACCAGGGAACCTCGGGGGGTCGACCCCGGCCCCTCTGGGATAATGTAACTTCCTATTTAGGATGGACCTGTGATCAGAAGCATCTATGATTTACATACCCGACAGGGGGGCGGATAACGCCAGGGGGGGGGTGCGTCTATTCTTTTTTAAGAAACGCGAATCCAGGCGATGACGGAGCGACGACGAGGCGGCGACGGCGAGCACGGAGCCCCCAGACCGCCAGCCAGGCCTGGTTCCTTAGAACAGAAGTGAACGCCTAAGTGCAAGCGCTGTCTGGGGAGCATGTGCAATAGATACACAGATATGTTGCACCGAGCAGCTTACACCACGTAGCTTGTACCACATAGCTTGCACGTCCGAGCGAGCGAGCGAGAAGCCGTGCACCAGTCGGCGCGTGGGCAGTTGAACCATGCACTGACAGGGCCAGAAAGTCAGTGTACCGCGCGGCCGTCGAGCGCAAATGCTGTAGCAAGTTGATTTCACGTTCGCTCGTCTGCCATGCAATCGACCAAGGCAGAACAATGCTTGGAGTCCAAATATCCTAGGGCCGTCTCAACGCCGAGCGCCCCAGAGTCGCCGGCGGCGGCGACGCCAGGGGAGTTGAGATCGACTACTCGGGGGGTGGGCCGATGAGGCCAACCAAGACTACCTGGGGGGGGGGTCAAGACTACCTGGGGGGGGGGGCTGTTAAGGCCGGCCAGGACTATCTGGGCGGGCTGCATGTCCACAACCCGAAACCACACCAAGAGATCCGATGTCTTGAAATTTGCCATGTCGGTTCGGAAGTCTCGCCTCACTCCTGAGTAGTTCCCTCGTTATCAAATCGCAGCGCCGCGCGTCTCACTCCTTCCCCTCTCCTCCTCTCCTTTTCCTCCTCACTCCTCCCTCCACTCCCTCATCCTCATCTTCCCTCTTCCCACCACCACCACCACTTTTTTACGCATATGGGGTATCGTCCTGGTACGGGCGCGCAGCAGCCTCTGAGAGTCACCCACTATGCAACTGTACAAAAGATACCTCGCCGATGCACTGATACAGAGCACGCGCCCGGCAAGCAACGCGGAGAGGTGCTCCGAACGCGGCGCAGGAGCACGGCGGTGCGCCAACCGCGCCTGCGCGGGGCAGCACAGGCTCAGCCCATCCGCTGCGGCGCGGGCGCTCGTGCCAGCGGCACGCCCACCTTTGTGCAGAGTTTCTCGACCTTCGGGTTCTGCTGCCTTGCCAAGTGTAGGGTCTCGTCCTGGCGCTGGATGTTGCCCGTGTCGCCGCGCAGCCTCATGCGCTCTTCGAGGTCCTTGTTGATATCGTCGACAACCTCCGCCTGGCACCCACATCCAGGGCTGATGGGGCCGAGCGAGGACGAGGTAGACACACAGCAGCCACAACACCTAGTGACAGTCACGCTCCCAAGCTCGCCGTATGGGCGCCGGCTGGTGTTCTCCGAGCAGCAAGTAGTCGTGATGAGTTGGATCTCTTCTGGCTCCAAATTCAAAAGTTTGGCCCCGATCCCGCAAGTGCTGAGCGTGTGGCAGCAATCGGTCACGTCATAATCCTTGTGATCGAACTTGGGCGCGGTGTGCTCTGACACGTGTGGCACTGCAGGTATGGCGACACCAAGGTGCACAAGCATGGCGTCCACCCTGGCAGTCATGGCCTCCAAAATCTTCAGGGCCTCCTCGGCGCGCAGGATGTTGCCGGTGTTGCCTCGCTGCTTCATGCGCGCCTTCAACTCTTGCACGACATTCGTGACCAGCTCGCCGCTGCAGCCGCGCCCAGCGCTATCGGCACCTTGTTGCCTTTGTCGTCATCCGGGCTCAGGTTGGACCTGAAGCTGGCGCAGCAGCCGCAAGCCTCCAGCTTCTCCACGCTGCCGAGGTCGCCGTAGGGTAGCCGCTTGGTGGAGCCGCCGATGCAGGTCGTGGTCTTGAGCACGGCCTCCTCGGGCTCCAGTGTGAGGATCTTCGACCCACAGCAACAGAACTGTGTGCCGCAGTCCGTGACATCAAACTCTTCCGTCCCAAACTGCTGCGCCCGCAGCGGCTCATCCGCCATCGGTGGCAACCAGATGTGAGAGAGCCTGGACGGTGAGTGTAATCTTGAGCCACACCACCACCACCACCACCACCACCACCACCACCACCACCACCACCACCACCACCATGTCGTTACACCTCTCACACGCTTGGTGGACTCATAGGGAGCTCCAGTGGAGGCCCCAGCGGCAGCTTTCGCATGCGTACTCGGGTCCAGTCTGGTAGCCCCCTCACACGTTTCGTGGCGCCGTAGGAATCTCCGCCGAAGCCTCCAGGCAGGGTTCGCATGTGCACTCGGATCCATTCCAGCACACCCATCACACGTTTCGTGGCCCTCATGGGAGCTCGACCGAATGCCCCAATTGCAAGGTTCGCATGCGTAGTCGGGTCCATTCTTGCAAACCCATCATGGGGGCTCCACCGAAGGCTCCAGTGGCACGGTTCGCATGCGTACTCGGGCCGATTCCAGCACATCTCTCACACGTTCCTTGGCCCTATAGGGAGCTTCACCGAAGCCCAATGGCAAGGTTCACATATGCGTGCTCGGGTCCATTTTGGCACGCGTCACACCTTTTGTGGCCTCATTGGGAGCTCCACCGAAGGCTCCAGATTCGCATAAGTACCCAGGTCCATTGTGGCACACGCCTCACACAACTTGGTGGCCTCATAGGAAGCTCCACCGAAGGCCTTAGTGGTAGACTTCGCAAGCGTACTTGGGTCCATTGTGACACACCCTAACACGTTTCGTTGCCCCATAGGGAGCTCAACCGGGGACTCCAGTCGTAGGGTTCGAATAAATACTCGGGTCCATGTCGGTACACCCCTCACACGTATCGTGGCCCTGTAGGGAGCTCTACTGAAGGCCCTAGTCAGAGTGCATGCGTGAAT